GATCTTGATCAGATATTAAGGGTGCTTAGCTAGAAATAAAGATTGTCCATGCTTCTCTGATTTATCAGAATTGTTGTTTGAGATGAGATGATACAAGGATTTGGATAGCATTTGCAGACACTTAGAGCTCTGAATCAAGCAAGACTAGGTCTCATTTGCACATTCTGAGAAAACAGATATTTCAATCACTTATGAACATAATGATTTGTTACTTTCTCTGACTTAAACATCCTTCACTGTGGGCAGAGGAAGTAATATATGGAGAGATAACTAACACTAAAGGCATTGTGAAAAGACATATGAAAGCCAACTATGGTAGAAATGTCTAAAAATACATACATACATACATACATAAAAGGAACTTAAATGGGGTCATCTTGTAATATGGGAGATAGTACATCATATGTTACCAAAGAAAAACCTAGGTCCAAGAATCCATTTCATGTTTTTGAATCATATGACCTGTCTTAGTCAGTGTTCTGTTGTGCAAAGAGACACCATGACTATGGAAACACCTATAAAAGAAAAGATTTACTCGGGAGGCAGGGCCAGGCGGATCTCTGTGAGTTCGAGGCCAGCCTGGGCTACCAAGTGAGTTCCAGGAAAGGCGCAAAACTACACAGAGAAATCCTGTCTCGAAAAACCAAAAAAAAAAAAAAAAAAAAAAAAAAAAAAAAAAAAAAAAAAAAAAAAGAAAAGAAAAAAGAAAAAGAAAAGATTTAATTGGGTCTTACTTACAGTTTCAGGGGCATAGTCCATTTTTATCATGGCAGGGAACACAGCAGCATAAAGTCAGGCATGGTGCTGAATAAGTAGCTAAGAATTTATATGAGGCATATTATTTTAACCACAGTCTTCTATGTGCTGTTTACCTTCTGTTTGTTCCACTCTTCAGACTTCTTATTTATTTTTTAATTCATTCTTTGTGAATTTCATACAGTGTTTTTTTTATCATATCATTTCCATTCCCTCAACTCTTCCAAGATTCTCCATTTCTCCATACCAATGCAACTTCATGGTTTTTTTTTTTTTTTTCTCACTTACTAAAAGGGAAAAGAAAAGCCACTGAAAGTATGGAGTCTGGGTTTATATGAGCGAGAATTGTTGAGACCAAGGTTGGATAAAGCACAGGGACAAATAGCCAAACGAATGGAAACACATGAACTATGAACCAATGGCTGAGGGGTCACCAACTGGATCAGGCCCTCTGAATGGGTGAGCCAGTTGATTGGCTTGATCTGTTTGGGAGGCATCCAGGCAGTGGGACCGGGTCCTGTGCTCATTGCATGCCTGAGTCGGCTGTTTGAAACCTGGGGCCTATGCAGGATCGCTTGTCTTGGCCTGGGAGGAGCGGACTGGACCTACCTGGACTGAGTCTACCAGGTTGATCTCAGTCCACGGGGAAGGCTTTGCCCTGGAGGAGATGGGAATGGGGGGTGGGCTGGGGGGAAGGTGAGGGAGGCGGGAGGGGGGAGAACAAGGGAATCCGTGGCTGATATGTAGAACTGAATTGTATTGCAAAATAAAAATAAAAAATTAAATAAAAAAATAATATGCCTCAACTGAATTGCTCAACTATGTTCATAGGATCATTATTTCTTATAGCCCAAATCTGGAAACAACCTAGATGCCCCCCCACACACACTGAAGAATGGATAAAGAAAATGTGGCACATTTACACAATGCAATACTACTCATCAGTAAAAAACAATGACATCATGAAATATGCAGGTAAATGGATGAACGAGAAAAAAAAAAAAAACATCTGAGTGAGGTAACCCAGAACCAGAAAGACAAACATGGTGTGTACTCACTCATAAGTGGATATTAACTGTAAAACAAAGGATAACCAGGATACAATCCATAGCCCAAGAAAAGTAAAGTAACAGGAAAGGCCCAAAGAGAGATGCATGGATTTCCCTGGGAAGGGGAAATAGAAGAGGTCTCCTCGTAAAATGGGGACAGTGTTTGGAGATAAGGGAACATGAGGGATCAGGTAGAGTGCATTGAGGGAAGGATGGACAGGGAGAAAAATAAAAAGATATCTTGATGGAGGGCAGCCTTTTGGGCTTAGGGAGAAACCTGGTGCCAGGGAAACTCCCAGAAATCCACAAAGATATCCCCCAGTTAAAACACCAAGCAATAGTGGAAAAGGTGCCCGAACTAGCCGTCCCCTGTAATCAGATAGTTGACTACCCCAATTGTCATCAGAGAGCCTTCATCCAGTAACTGATGGAAGCAGATGAGGAGATCCACAGTCAAGCACCAAGCCTAGCACTGGGAGTTCTACTGAAGAGAGAGAGGGAGGCTTGTAGGAGCCAGGGGGTCAAGAACATGACATGGGAGCCCACAGAGGCATCTGACCTGTGTGTGACAGTTGTATGGCTTAGTCTGTTTGAAGGGCCCCTAGCAGTGGGATCAGGATGTGTACCTGGGACTTGAGCTAGCTTTTGGGAACCCAATCTCCATACTGGGTTGCCTTGATCAACACTGATGGAGGTGGAGAAGCTTGGTCCTCCACCAACATGAAATGCCATGCTTTGTTGACTCCAATGGAAAGCCTGCCATTTCTGAATGGAGACAGAGGAGGAGCAGAAGGGAGGAGGGGGGAGGGAACAAGAGGAGAGGATGGAGGTGAAACTATGGTCTATATGTAAAGTAAATGAAAAAATTAATAAAAAACTAAAAAAATTCAGTAAAAGCTTGTACCTCTTAATGGTGCTTTTCAATTTCTTTAAAATAAATGTATGTAAAACTAAACAAAATATCAGTCCCTGCTTCTGTTACATTTACTAATTTTTTATTAATCTAGGATTTTATGTACATTGCACATTGTAAGGAATAGGTCAAGTAGATATCATTTATTTCTTCCCTGATCTAAGTGCAAAAAAAGGATAAATCAAATATAGCATCTCTCTGACATATGATATACTACAATCTGAGAAAATGAAAAAAAAATGTGACAGTTATTATTGTAGAATAATACACTTCTTAGTGGTCTCACGTTTTCATACTAATATATTGGATATTACCTTTCATCAGGACTCTTATAAGGAAAAATTCTCAAACTAAAGCAATAGCCACACATCTATACAGATAATAAGAAAGGATGAGTGCTAAAGAAGGAAGAAGGAGAGTAGAGGATTATGGTTTAGTGTCCAGAGCTACACAGAAGAGGAAATTCTTCTCAATACCTCCAGGTACTAGTTGCAATGAAATGTGAGTGAGTGTCCTATAATGGTAAATATAGTAACTTTGAGTTGGTGCTGTGAGGTGACAATAAAGAGAGCCAGGTAGATGGCGCTTCTAGATGGCAGCTCAATGTCATCTCCAAAAGAGAAAAGCCAGAGAGTTCCAAGAGACACATCCACAGCAGGCCATTTATTTCCCCTCTTACAGTTCAGCCTTGACATCACTTTCCTCTTTGGGTGTCACTGTCTCCTGAAGATTCTTGTGAGATACAACTGTGTTACACACTGACAGGGAAAAAGAGAATCCCAGGAACTGTGTTCTCACAGGATCCAATCATAGCTGTGAACTTAACACAAAATAGGATATATTGACCAAGCCCATGCTAGGGATGGTAACCAAAATCTTCCATTCTAAACTGCAAGGGTACACACACATGTTTTTCAGGAAGCACAATCAGAAAGCAAAATGTTCAGTATAATGTGATCCAAGGCCTACAGAATCACTATCTAACTTTCTTTGACAAGGTTCACAAATTTAGCTTCCTGTTGTGTACAGAGGTATCCCACAGCCAAGCCAGAGGGACAGTCAGAGATTATATCTCAGGAAGTGCATGAAGCACTAGTGTCTGGAGGCTGAATCCTGTCATCAACACAGCCAATCAAAAGGAACACATGATTTAGAGGCAGGTTCAAATGCAAAGATATCTGGGATTTATAGCATGAGTAAGGTGTTGCTGGGCCAGATTCTGGACCCTCAACAAACTCTGAAGAGTTGAGTCTCTGGAGTGAACTGAGGCAGCAGTCTTCACCACAGATAGGTAAGGCCCTGCCTTGGACAAGGCAGAATGGGAGGTGACTTTGGGGGATACTTTGAGAGACTCCATGGAAAATCAGTTTAATCCCAAAGAATATATTCTAAGCCTCAGCAACCCTGGTGTGTGTGGGTATAGTGGTGTGGGTAGTAAAGGCAAGGAGGAAACCAGGTCCCTTCTGGGTCTATATTTGTATAGGGTCTGTTCACAGAGATTTACAGATGTTCCTTTGAAAACCGGTAACCATCACTGGCACCTGCTGGTCCAGAAGAGATCATCTCTTGCAGATAACCCTAGAATGTATCTATTTTCAGTTGACATGTACAGATGTAGTAGCAGTTAGTATGTTCCCATCAGGTCCTATTGGGAGTGTTGCTTTAGAGATCCAACAAGTTCAGAATCTGAAATCCCACTATAAACTTGCTGTTGTCCTCCACTTCCTCTCATGGCTCTGCCTTCCTGTTGGTTTTTCATGTGACAATATTCTCATGTAGGGAATGAGTTGGGAGTTTGATTGCATGGTCCCAAGGGTGAAATGCAAAGAATAATAAATGATTCTTCCAACATTCTTATAGAAGTTATTTCACAAAGTTTCATTGAAGAAGAGAGGGTTAAAGATAAGCCCACAATTTGCTGTTTATTAAAAAGGCATATGATGCCCTGTGGCCCCAACTTTTGAGTTCACCTTGAAATTACAATCCAATGCCACATGATAGAAGTTTTGCTTGTTAGGAATCATGGGTCAGTGATATCCTAAAACAATGGTTGGTTTTTGCTTCTATGTGTGGAGACCTTTCTGACATAATAAGATGCAGTACACCAAAGGTTTTCATTGCTAGAAATCTGGGCACATGCTCTTCACTTTGTATTAGATCTAATAAATACCAGTGAATGACTCAGTTCACACACATCCTCAGCCTTTTCTACAATCTTTCAAAAAGTATTTGGAAGAATAATTCAGAACTTTATTGGCCATGGGTGGCTTGATTTCTGAGACATTTTAAAAACACTGGTGTTGTTACAGCTTCATTTCTCTTCCTTATCCAGGGTTGTGAGTCATGACTTCTGCTGTATTCCTGGTTATCCTGTGCATAGGAATTATGTCAGGTGCTTCAGCACATGATCCCAGTTTGGATGCTGAATGGGAGGAATGGAAGATGGATTACGAAAAATCATACAGCCTGGTTGGTAACCTGCAATCTATTCAGAAGAGTCCCAGAGTACAAGCGTCTAGGCATATTAGATGTCATAGGCCCCACTACAACCACCACCACTGAGAGATTACTTAGTCACGATCATTGTGAGCACAGGGTAGCCAAATTCCCTTTTCCTCTGTATGTGGAGAACATGTGGCTATAGTGTCCTAGAATATCTCTCCTTGGCCTCTAGTCACCTGCAGCTGCAAGCCCACAAGGTCAGCTTGTGCAGGAGTTTAATAGAAGAAAAAGTCATCCATTATGTTCTTATCCAGGAGGAAGAAGCAATGAGAAGAGCAGTATGGGAAAAAAACTTGAAAATTATTAAAGATCACAATGGGGAGAATGGTCTGGGTAAGAATGGCTTCACCATGGAAATGAATGAGTTTGGTGACATGGTGAGTGTGACACGGATTCTTCACACTGTGTTTTCTTGAGTGTTTACATGAAGTCTTTTTTTTTATAATCATTTATGTAATTTTCCTTGAAGACTGGTGAAGAGTTCAAGGACATGATGGTTAATATACCTGTCCCACCTCACAACAAATGGAAAAACGTCTGGAAACGTTCTGTTGGTTATGGTGGTCTACCCAAATTTGTGGACTGGCGAAAGGATTTACCTGAATTTGTGAACTGGCGAAAGGAAGGCTATGTGACTTCTGTGCGGAAACAGGTATGACAGTGCCACATCCTTCCCCTTAAACCATATTGTTGGGGAAGAGAAGTTGGTGTCTCTGTATTCGTATTTAATGAGGACAGATTTGCAGTTTATTTTTTTTTAAATAATGTATTTTCTTCTTTGAAATGTTCATATATTTTCCAATGTATATTGCTCTTGTCAGTCCACCAAACACATTCTCCATCTCTGAGTCTATATCCCATCTCACTGCAGGATTCCTGTTCCTTCTATTTTCATTAATAATCCAAAAAAACAATAGGGCCTGCACAAATGGTTTTGTGTGTGTGTGTATGTGTGTGTGTGTGTGTGTGTGTGTGTGTGTGTGTGTGTGTGTGTGTGTGTGTGTGTGTTTGAACCGAGGGAAGCACATGCACACTACAAGCATCCAAGTCCTTTAGGATACTGACCATTCTTTTCTAGGCATCTAGCAACTGCCGGTTTTTCATTTTCGCAAATTATTAGGCTGTCTATGTTGTTGCTTGAATTAGTAATTATTTGTGAACGACCATATTTTCCTCTCTGTGTAGGGTAAATGCGGTTCATGTTGGGCTTTTGCTGCAACTGGTGCCATAGAAGGACAAATGTACCACAAAACAGGCAAACTCACCCCCTTGAGTGTGCAGAACCTAGTGGACTGTTCTAAACCTCATGGCAATAATGGCTGTGATTGGGGTAATACATACAATGCCTTTCAGTATGTTTTGCACAATGGAGGTGTGGAGGCTGAAGCAACCTACCCATATGAAGGAAAAGTAAGTCAACCTCTATGTTGTCATTTCAGCTCAGCTTGGAGTGAGGGACAATTGTCGATATGATACACTATCTTCAGTGTTCAAATTGGATGGTAGAATCTCTCTGTGCACCATCAAGGCAGTCATTCAGTATTGTCCTTTGCATAAATTGTTGATGTCATGATATTCTCTTCTATGTACATGGAGAATATAGGAACTATTGTACATATAATACAGATCTCTGCAGCACTAAAATTTTTTATGGATAGGAGGACCTATTGGTTGTCATTAAAGACAAGAGAACTTATTTTTAGTTCTAGACTGTCTAGTAGCATTTCATTTCCTGAGATGATTTACAATAATAAACCATGCTTGAGTGTGGTTGTGGTTTTTGCTCCTAGGACATGGGTGAAAGAAACAGAGTCTCTTATCTCTTTACCTTTTAAAGGAAGGACCATGCAGGTATGATCCTAGGAATTCAGCTGCTAAAATCAAAGAATTTGTTGCCCTCCCAGAAGGTGAGGATATTCTAATGGATGCTGTAGCTACTAAAGGGCCCATTGCTGCTGGAATTGATGCTTTCCATGATTCTTTTCTGTTCTACAAGAAAGGTTAGTATATTTCCGAGTAGATATGAAGAAATATAAGCTGTGCTATATCTATGTCATGACAAGTTCTCAGACTAGCTGTTATGTTCAAAAAGTCATGTGAATGTTTAGGATTCTGGATTCTACTTATCTCCATATAATAGTTGAGTACTGAATGTCACCTGATGTGAATCAACACATGAAAGTTAATACGCTCCATTTAAAAAATTTATTGGTTAGCTAATTTTTCAACTCTCCTCCATTTCATGGATGTTTTAATTATTTATAGAAAATGATTATCTGAAATTAAATGATAATAGAGTCTGTGAATTAAGTAACTTATGTCCTGTAAGTTTAACTTGGCATGAGATTTTATTAACAAAACTACAAATTTCTGAGGAGTCATTTCACTTGCATGTAGACAGTAGCTGTCAATAAATCTTGCCACTTTGGATTCCTTCAGTTTTCTGTAATTGTGTGTGTGTGTGTGTGTTAGCATTCTTGTGAATAATTAATCTAACTCTTAAGTCTGATTGTAGTTTATATCATTTCAGTTATCATTGAAGTAGTTTTCCTATTGCTGGTGGCAGTGGTCAAGCTGTCATGTGTGCTATGTATCTCACATAAGCTTCTATTTTATTTCTCAGGTATTTATCATGAGCCAAACTGCAACAGCTATGTTTTGAATCATGCAGTTCTTGTGGTTGGCTATGGACATGAAGAAAATGAAACGTATAGCGAAAGCTACTGGCTGATCAAGAACAGGTATAAATTGCCAAAAAAAATCTATATTTGAAATTCTACAGGCTAAAGAGATGGTCCAGTGACTAAGGCCACTGAACTCCCTTCCAGGAGATTCATGAAGAGATTGAAAGTTACAGTTAGTATTTTGATACACAGCCTAGAAATTTTGTTTCATTAAGTTGAAGAATATCTGTTCTTCTTTTCACATGTACATGTGTGAGGTGTGTTTGCCTGCCTGCATGTCAGTGGCCCCTGTGTGTGAGTACACATGCATAGAGGCTTGATGTTAACATTAATTGTTTCTCAATCATTAAGTAACTTCTATAATGTGGGAGCGTTTCTTCCTAATCTAAGAGTTCACTACTTAGTCTGAGTAGCCAGCTTGCTCTAGGTATGTTCTGTGTGCATGTCCTAAGAACATGGGTTACAGGTACACTACAATGTTGTTCTGGCTTTTCCGTGGCTCTTGAAACTGACTTCAACTCCTCAACCTCTGAGCTCCCCTAAAGCTCTAAGAACTTACTAACAATATGTTATCATAGAATTCCCATTCCTTCACTGGTTTCTAGGGTGTCGATGTCATGTATGTGCCAGTGATTTTCTAAAATGTGACACATTTGATAGTTCTGAAACATCTATGGGTAGAAGGACATTCTGCTGTGGTCTTCACACTCCTGTGTGAGGCACTTCTAGGTACTCAGGAAGAGACCCCCTGCCTTTCCTGATCATTTTGTTAGGTTGGCCTCTTGCCAGTATCATAATAAGTCCACCATGTAGTAGTCATTCTACTGAATGGAAAACATGCTTTCTTTCAGCTGGGGTAAAAAATGGGGCCTGAAGGGCTACATGAAACTTGCCAAAGACTGGAACAACCACTGCCAAATTTCTTCATATGCCCAATACCCTACTGTGTGAGCGAGCAGCCTGACACCCACAGGGAAGCACTTGGCAGGAGACTGCTTTTTCAGATGGGGGCCATCACTTCAATGACCAGCCTTTGCTGAGTGTGTTAAACCATTGAGTCCCTCAAGATCCACACTGTCATGTGAATTCTGGGAGCTTTCAAATAATTGAAAGTACAGCTTTGTAACTGTTGCTCTAACGAATGTTTATGATTCCTGTAGTTATTTTCACTTTTAATACTTGTGCAAATAAAATGCTTTAGAAAATAAAATTCAAGTATAATTTCTGCCTTCTTTATCTTTTTGTGCAGTGACTTTGTTGTGGTCAATAATGGAATTCATCTTGAAGTTGGGACTGAGTGTTGTTCTGGTACTTGGAAGAATGAGTGGTTGGGTCTTCTGTGATTGACAGAATTCGTTGTTGTTGTGGTTTGCTTTCAGGGTTCTGTTTATTTACCAGAAACTCTGCTCTGAAAGATTCTGATAATTTCTGGATGTGATAATTTTAGCTGACACAAATTCACCCAGTTTCAATTCTTGGCCCCTCTCTGCTGTGCAACAGCACCATGTGCTCCTCTACTGCATGGAGCTGGGCTGTGATTCTCCCTTGTTCATAAATGAACCATGTATTAGCATCCACTAGAGTCCAGCAACCCTACAACAGTAGGCTCTGATAAATGCAACGTAACTGAAGTATAAGACAAAGAATTGGAAATATCCTTTATAACTATGATAGAATTTATTAAAGGAGAAATGAAGAAGTCAGTGAAGAGAGAAACAGTGAACAGGAAACAGACATATACATCAATGGAAAAGAATATAGAAGCCAGATATAAATACACAAGCTACAGCAACTTGACTTTTTACAAAGATTATATATATATAATATCTGATATTTACAAATATTATATATATATATATATACATATATATATAATCTGAAAATACAGCAAATTCAACAAATAATGTTGGAAAACTATTACTGGTAGAAAATGAAACTGGAAGCTTATATTTCACCTGAACAAAATACAATTCCAAACAGATCAAAGATCTCAACCTAAACACTTATGAATAGAAACTCTCAGAGAAGAGAAGGATGTACACTTCAACCTATAGGCACAGGGATGGCATTTCTGATAGGACTGTGTAACACAGGAGCTAGGAACAACTACTTACAGAAGGGACTTCATGAAATTATTGTTTCCATGCAGTAAAGGAGAGTGTCAGTTGAGTGAAGAATTAGCCTAAATAGTAAGAGAAAATACTTGCTGGCTTTACATCCAACCATGGATTAGTGTCTTGGATATGCACAGAAATGAAAAATAGAAGACAAGAAAACCAACCAATTAGAAAGAAGGACTTTGGAACTATACTGAAGTTCTCAAAAAAGAAAAATAGAAATTGCTGATAACCATTTTGGAAAGTTTTAAAATATCTTAATTACTGGGGAAATGTAGATTAAAGCCATGGAATGATTCCATCCTATGTCAGTATAGTCATGATCAGGAATACATACAAGAACAAATTCTGATGTAGATGTGGGGAAGGGGACTCTTACATGCTGTTTCTGGTAAAGACATAACTCCATTCAGTGATTTACCTGGATCCTGTAGATGTGTACAGACATCCAAGTCAGCCTGGAGAGGGTTAATCTTTTCTCATGAGAAAGTGAAAGAGGAAAATGGAACTGGAAACCTGAATATTCAGCAGGAATTCAAAAGGCAATGCCAACCCTGACAGTACTCATTCTCTCTGCTCATTTAGAGTAGCGGTTCTCAACTGGTGGGTTACAACATCTTTTAGAATCTAAAAATTTTTTCACAGGGTTTGCATATCTGATATCTTGCATACCAAATATTTACATTACTATTCATAACAGTAGCAAAATTACAGTTATGAATTATCAATGAAAGTAATTTTATGAGTAGGAGTCACTCACCACATGAAAAATTGTATTAAAAGTTGCACCTTTAGGAAGGTTGAGAACCACTATATTAGAAGATACACAAGAATACGATGAAGATAAGTATCTACCATGGACATAATGAACTGAATGGGCCAGCCACAGCCAATAGAGAAAAATGAAAATGCCAGCAAGTTACAGAGCAGAAGCTGAAAACCGAAAGCCTAAAAACAAATCTCTCTGCCTTTGGTTTTATACATGAAATGTATTTGGATCAAGCCATGACTGCTTTTTCACTCTAGTCTGAAGCTGGTTTGCATACAGGCCATTGTTAAAGGGATGCATTGGGTAAACTATGATCTTTACAGAGAGATTTGCAGTCCCTGGTGTATTACCTTACATTAAACATTCATTGAGAGGCAGAATGATGGAGGTAGAGGACATCATCGTTGCACTCATTTAGAAAGTTGAAACAGTAATATGAAGCCTTATGAGACAAAATATCAGACTTGAAGACAAAGTAGATTTAGAATGTCAAGGAAAAACAATGAGAAAATCAAAACGCAAAACACAAAAAAGGAATATGTAGAACTTTGGGAGATTTTTGAAAGGGTATGATATAGTAATTATGAACCACAGGCATAGAAAGAGATGAAGAATCCTAGGTGAATGGCATAGACCAGATTTTCAATGGGATAATGGATGGAAAATTCTCCAAACTCCCCAATTAAGAAAAAAATTACATATATAGGTAGAGGAAGTACACAGGACACCAAGTAGGCAGGATCAGAAAAGAAACTTCATACACAGTATTATGGATAAAAGAGAAAATATGGGGTGTGGGGGAGGTGATGAGGGGATGGGAACATAAGGTATTGGGTTGGTCAAGTTGGGGATGGGACAGAGGGTGAGAGTAATGAAAGAGATATCTCAATAGAGGCAGGCCAGTTTGGAGTTAGGGAGAAACCTGGTGTCAGGGAAACTCCCAGGAATCCAGAAGAGCCCAGCTAAGACTCCTAGCAATAGTGAAGAAGGTGTCTGAACTCATATTGTCCTGTAATCAGATAGGTGACTACACCAATTGTCATCAAAGAGCCTTCATCCAGTAACTGGTGGAAGTAGATGCAGAGTTCCACAGCCAAGCACTGGGCCAAGCTCCAGGAGTCCAGTTGAGGAGAGGGAGAGGGATTGTACTGTAAAGGACAGTCAAGATCGTGATGGGAGAAACCACAGAAATGGCTGACCTGAGCTAGTGGGAGCTCACCAACTTCCAGCAGCTAGAGATCCTGATGGGATGGACCTAGACCCTCTGCTTGTGGGTGAGAGTCATGTAGTTTTGTTGTTTGTGGAGCTCCTAGCAGTGGGATCATGACATGTCCCTGGCACATGAGCTGGCTCTTTGGAACATATTCCCCATAGTGGGATACCTTGCCCTGCCTTGATGCAGGAGGAGATTGGTTCTGCTTGAACTTGATGTGCCATGCTTTGTTGACTCCCATGGGAGACCTGTTCCTCTCTGAATGGAGTGTAAGTGGAGGGCGGGCTAGATGAGAGGTGGAGGAAGGGAACAGAAAGAGAGGAGGGAGGGGAAACTGTGGTTGGTATGTAAAATAAATGAAAAATAATAATAAAAGAACCAGAAAATAGGTAATATAAAAAAGGTGTTGAAAACTATAAGAGAAAAGGCACAAATCATAAACCCATCAGAATATCTTCTGAATTCTCAATGGAAACTTCAAGAGACACAAAGACTTATAATAATGTACTCTAAGTTCTAAGACACCACAAATGCCGATTGACCAGCAAAAATATCTGACAGAATTGAAGGATAATGAAACACTTTCCACGATACAGGTAAACAGAATTATGCCTTCCCAACCAGTTATGATGACTAATTTTAGTTGTCAACTGAACATTCATTGGAAAGAAAAAACACATTTGAGAAATAGCTTCCATCAGATTGGCTTGAGGGCAAGACTTTGGGGCAATTTCTTGACTACTAATTGATGAAGAGATGTTCAGATGACAGGGTTGATACCATCCCTATATAGATGGGCCTGGGCTAATCAAGAAAGGTGGCTGAACATGAGCCTGGGAGCAAGTCAGTATCTGGTATTTGTACAGGGCTTCAACTTCAAACTTGTGCCTTGGCTTTGATGTCTTGGCTCCCCTAAAAGATGAAGTGTAAACTGTGAAATCAACCCTTTCTTGGTGGCTAGCATAGTGACGAAGCCAAAATAGAACTGAAAAATTGGTGTTGGAAAAATGGGTCTTGACTGATAGATCTGACTATGCCATTTTAAAGAGGGATTAAGGCAGAATTTGGAATCTAAGACTGTAAAAGCAGTTGAGTGTTCAGAGCTTAATGAACCTATAGTGTATTCTATAAATTATGGGGAAGTACAGATGTAAGAAATGTTCATTGTTGTAAGTCTTCTATCTTTTGTGAGTGAAACAATGAGAGAAGAAATGATAGAGGAATGTGAATATCATGTCTAGGAAGAAATATAAATTGCATTAACTTAAGTATGAGAATTCTGATTTTCTAAGCTTAAGGAACATAATATTAAAAACAATTTTTGTTAAAATAAAAATGATAGTGTGACTGGGAATAATGCAGGAAATGTGAGACAGAAGTTCCCACCAGGCAGCTCTGGTAAGAGCTAGACTTCAGAAGCAAGTTCCATGTAGGCCACCAGGCAGCAAGATACTAGCCTAGCATAGAACACAACAATGATATGCTAATGAGCTAAGCCCAAGATGGTATTGATGTGCTAGCAAACCAGCCCCAAGCTGTGAGGTCTCATAGTTTAAAGTTATTGCCAAATTAAACAATAAAAATAATTTTATCTTTGGAAATGGTCTGTAGGATCATACTTCTGTGCTTCCATGCCATGAGTTATATAGATTTTCTGTTAATATCCATCTGCATGAGAACTGGAGACTTAGTGCATGGTCCTGACCTCAGTGACTAATAAATTTTCAGTATTGTAGTGGGCCCACAAAGGCCCACCTGTCTGTTATAACCAAAGCTCACAAAGATGTCCTGGGCCTCCATCAGTGTAATCCTACCAGACTGCCACAGTTGAAAGACTTCACAGCAGATGTGG